TATGTATGTATGTATGTATGTATGTATATGTATATATATATTATTATATTATTATATGCATATATATATATATATATTATTATATATGGACATACGTTCGATTCTGAAATGACCTGCGCATACAATTGTACACTGACTTTGTATTGTTTCTCCGTCATTTATGTGTGTTGTTGTCAGTATTCGAACACCAAGCATAGTTGTCGTGCTGTATGCTTGTGCCTTCAGGTGCATTGAAGGATTTTGGACCTGTATGTCGTAATATACTGCAGATAGAGCAATCTGTATTTGTTTGTATCTCTATCCTACGAGTTTCTATCTGTACCTAAGCTTTCGTTTTATATCCACACATTTGTACGTATACCTTATATACACTTCGGTTCATAAATATTTTTTGCATCAGTTGTGGTTTTGCTAGAAGTTACACGTTTATTGTAATATGTGTTATGTATGAATGTACACACAAATAGGGTAACTTTGTTGCGTAGGGTGATCATAGATTCTTGCAAATACACCGGTCTATCGAAAGTATCTATCAAGGGAGCGACGAACGGATTTTTTTTTTTGCGGTAAATTATATTCACTAGGGTCGACAGCAGATCTAGTTGAACAGTTCATTCGGACGAAAATCGCCTTTATATGTCTAGTCACCTCTGAGCCTTATTTATACACGTGAATTAACGTTTACATATCGAGTTACCGCTGAGCCTTCTTAAATTATACACATGAATTAACGTTTACATATCTAGTTACCTGAGCCTTCTTAAATTATACACATCAATCAACGTTTTATGTACACTCTATACATTGGTGTACGCGTTGCAATTTGCATACAACGAGTCTTTCATCACAACAGCCCAATCATCTGTCACACATGACGCACGTGGTGTGCGTTTGCCATTGCTGATGTCGTTTCCATTTCTCCATTCCCACGCGCCGGCAAATGATACAGCGGACAGTGCTGCGAAAGATGGAACTGTGGCAGAGATGGTGTGCTATGTGTTTAAGATTGCAGCCCTTTGATTATTGTCGTATGCTGATACTGTCGGATTAGATGTGACGAAACTGACATCTGGTCATGGATGTGAGTGTAGCATAGTCATTTGAAGATTATGTTGTACACAACATAGTCTACGCTCCTTCGCCTATATGCGCTGACGCTCACAACTGTTCTATTTTCTTTACCTCATCGGTAATAGGAGTCGATGCCCACACAGGAGGCACTCGTGAAACAGTTGGAGGAGGCCGATCGATTACTAAAAGTTCAGATCGAGGAGCGCAATAGAATAGAAGCTCTGATTAAAAATGCCCAGAATACGGATCCCGCATCGAAGGACCTGATAGTGTCGTGAAAACAAACACTGTACGTAGTGTCTGGCCAATCAAATAAATCCGGATCGCCTCAGGTGCTATGAATCGAGTCTGCATTAGTCTCAGTACATGTCGATCAAGTAGCCGATAACTTGCCTTATTGTATTTTTGGTCCCGCCACCTTAATCCGTTCAAGGAACCAAAAGTATGCTGGGTCAGGACAACTTCAATTCAATCTGCACTTGCTTCTACATAAAAGGTCACTAGCATTAAAGGTGCAAAAGCCAGTGAATGTCGCTCTTTGTGTGTCGTCTACGCAATACTCATTCCGCAGATCATTCATATCTCTCTTGCTATAAAATTTGTGTCAGGTGGTTTTCCAGTATTCGCATTTATCTCAGTAGATTTCCTCTTTACCGTCGCTTCCTATCCCTCCGAGAAATATAGCAGTACGCAAACGTTCACTGCAGACTCTTCAATGGCCATGCCAAGCTCGTATGCTTTCTCACATCTAAACGGGTATACTGGATTCGCAAATATATATATATATATATATATATTGATATATTTATGTATGTATGTATGTATGTATGTATGTATGTATGTATGTATATACCTAGGTATGTATCTATGTATGTATCTATGTATCTATATATCTATCTATCTATCTATCTATCTATCTATCTATCTAT